CGCTGCGCCCCCCTATCGCTTTCTCTCTTCCGGCGGTGGTGCATGGTCTCCCCACACTTTTGCCCACGTCCGCGGACGATCCTTGCCGTGCGTATCAAGAACGCCAATGATGGATGATCCGTACATACGCAACACACCGTAGTATTTGCCCATCCCGTCCTGGGCCAATCTCCTGCCACGCATGTGTCTACTGCTTACTTTTTGCCCGCAAACCCTTCGTCACAGCTGCCTGTCGTGCCTGTTGATGTTGCAGGACGTGCCAATCATCGCCCCAATCGAAAAAACAATCACGTGTCCAACTCATGATTCGCGAGGGTTTTGGCTAGAATGCTGCCAGTGTTTCGCCCGCTCGTGTGTTTTTCTAATGTTGCTTGTCCATCCATGCCTGGGATCCCCCTCCCTTGCCTTCAGCTCTCTGGTCTGGCACAGAGAGAGGAGGAGAAACACTGGGAACATGGCCCCTTTGCTTGAGATCGCCGGCGTTTGACTGGCTATCCGGCCATCTCGGCCCAGGACGTGATCAGACCACCAACCTGGGTTTGCATGGCCTTCCCGCGCGGGGTAAACCTCGAGAGGAGAAGAAGCGAGGACCAGCAGGAGGTACCTGCCAGAGCTTACACGGCAGAGGCCGCTCCAACAAAGTGACAGCATAAGCACCTTCGGGGAGCACGATTTGCAGAGGGGAAAGGGTGTTTTACGTACACAAACATTCAGGGTAGCTTGATGTAACCAACCCGATTTTAGGATTCGTCGTAAAAGTATACATACGTATCCCCCTAGAACTAAAGAAGTGCGGCGGGCGCTATTAGAGACCTCCGGTGATGAAGCGAGCGAGTAAACGCCGTCATCGTCCTGACCGGCGCATCGACAAGCTTTCCCGCATCCCTTGTGTCAGAGGGGTGGGCGCTGGCCTCATTGGTGAAGTCATCCGTGGAGAAGGGAGACGAGTCTGGAATACCCTAGACGGGATACCTCTGGGAACTCTGTTCTGGCAGGTCAAGCTAGGTGAGCTTAGGAAGAGCTCAGTTGCTTATATACCCTCTTGCTGCCGCTCCTCTGTTCCTCATACAGGCAGAGCATATCAGAAACATATCTACACAACCTGAACACCTCAACAAGCAAAACAACCACAAATTTCAATACCTCCATCATGGACTCCGGAAAGACCAACAACGCCGCTGTCTCCCCTACCACCGGCCGCAGACGCGTACGTGCCTCCTCATCCCGAGTCCTCGAAATGACGTAGCTAACACTCGCACCCCGCACAGAGCTCTGGCACTCTCTTCCAAGGCCTTGTGGAACAGAAGCGTCACGATGGCACCGCAGCACGCAGACAGTCAATGACTGATTCTAAGCCGGCACCTGGATTCATTGGCCAGATGTGGCAGAAGTACGATATACACAACCTACTACATAGAACATGAGGCTGACTTGGACTAGCTGGACTCGTGGCCCGAGCCCCCCGAAATAAGTGTTATCAATGACCGTCATTTGAGTACAGGAATAATGGAGGCGTTATGGTCCGGTCCTTCGAGACTGTGAGTGTACTGGCACAACGGCGTTCGTACGAGATTGTGTTTAAGCATAGCAAGACGTACAATAATGGATTATTTACCATTGCATAAATTCACCATCTTTGCTTGTCGTTATGTGTTGCTAGGCTGCAAGCAGAGTTAGCGAATGAAGCATGAAAAGAAGTGTTTAAATGCCGCGAACAACGTTATCCCTCACCATGGTGCCCATACCGAAAGGAAAATGTGACATTGCGCTAGGACTTCAGCCAAGTTCGCGCCAATATATCCAACGTGTCTCGGACGGTGTTGTAGCGTTGAGAGAGAATAACATCAAGTTTGTGTCGAACATGTCGTCAGGGAATCATGAGAAGTACAAATTGTTGCACTTCTCCAGTAATTATCACACACCATATGAGGTAGTAAGCTGAAGCATGACGCCCTGCGGGAGGGTAAGTTCTGACCAAGTCGATATGGACGCCAACCAAATGCTCAAATGCTTTCCATTGTTAACGAGCGTGCCCCAAGACTTAGACAACTCATCAGCATGGCGGACTAAGGCATTGGCTGTTTGCAGGTAATTCGAATGGATGCCATCTAGTCACCAGTATAGCTCTTGATCAAAAGGTAAAAGAGTCTTCACGTTGCGAACGCCATGTTTGGGGACAAATGTCAGGCTTGAATTGCGGCTGTACAGGACTATCTTGAAGCATAGAGAATCATAAGGCATCTCTCCCTGCCCAGAAATCCCCCACCTGCAGTCCCCCTTATCGATTTTTTGCCCACTGTACCAAACCCCGACACTGTGATCAAGCATAGGGTTTTTTGAAACGGTCACAAACATGACCGTGTGTGAGAGACGCGACCAGCCCAAACCCATGAAGCCCCTCGGCTTCCATTCCAAACGTTAGCCCCACGTATTCGGCACCCAAAAAGTGAGTGATGGCGTGGTTCGTGGGGCAGATCCTCCTCGGCCTAGTCCGAGATGCTGGCTCCGGAGCAAAGTAGCCTTGCTAAGACTGTGCAAAGAAGGCCCTTACTATCGCGCTTGTCTCCTTCAGAAAGGATCCCGCCTGGATGGCACGTGGACAGGACCAACATTAGATTGGATCCTGCCCCCGTCTGTCAATCCACGACAGCGGTTGTGTCACTTGATCTTTTCAACAGCCAACCACGGCAGTTACAGCGGTTTCCGCGTCAATATGTGCTCCGCAACGTCAAAAGACGCGATGCGGTCTCCAGGAAGTTGAACGCAGAGTTACCCAGTTTTGTTAACACAGTAGTTTTCACACAGTAATGATCAGAGATCAGTAGTCAATGATGCCGATCTCAACGAAGATGGCAGATATCACGCCTCGACTCCGAAAATGAGGAGATATCCACATGTGCAGATCTTGTTGTGATCGTTGATCAAGGGGCCAATGCAGGGTCGAAGCTCTTCTTTGGCAAAGCCAGAGCAACCATCAATGGTATGATGAAATGAGTCTGCGGGCCAATGGTGGCCAATCGTTGGAGAACGAGCGTGGCCAAATGTCGAGAGCGGAGGATTGTCGGTAACCAATCGTCCGCACAAGAGACAGTTGGACGGCGGCAAATGCCCGCCCAAAAGTCGTGAGGCAAGGCTAGAAAGGCAATCCATCTTTCTAGCCACGAGATGTGACAGGAGCACTCAGAAGGCTCCCGCGTCGAACATCCAGTTGATCCGGCATGGCATGGCAAGGCATGGCATGGCAGACCAAGGCAGTTTTACGTCCTGCCCAGGACAATCCATTGGAGCCTTTTCAATTCATGCTCAGGAGAATCCATTTGAGCCTTTTCGAGTCATGCCCAGGACCAAAGACACAGCCGAGAAGCTGTTTTTGGTTTTGCTTTTCCGAATCCTGTCCTTGGATATCAATTAACATGCCTCAGTAGCACACAGCAAGCCGAGAATGCACGTGCTACCCAGCGCCGGAGTCGGCCAAAAAGAAAGACCCGAGAATGCCGAAGATGGAGACAAATGAATCATTATTGTCGCGGTTCATCAGAATTAGGAAAAATTTCCGAGGCTCTAATTGCTGAATGAATGAGATGCAGTCGTTCGTTTTGGTTGCCCAGGCTTGGAGACATCACAAGTCTAGAGATCGTTACTGTTGTGATTGTTAGCATCGTCACTTGGCAGGTAGTCAGCTTGCCTACCACATGTGACTCCGTAGCGAGAATCGTAACCGTAATGCCCATCAAAGATGCTGAATGGGAATCTTGCCGCTCATTGTAGCTTCCTTGCAACGCCGTGGGCCTTTTTACGTCCTGCCCAGGACAAGCCCACCGGTAAGAGTCAACTTCGCCGAAGCGGCAAGTCCAGTGTGTTGGGCAATTCTAGGCTCTTTGAAACGAGACTACAGCCTCTGTGATGCTTCGCCCAAGCATTGTTGAATTATTTCTGGGAATCTTGTGACGAAGGGCTTATCTGATCACGTTGGACTTCGACGCCAAGCGGCGTTCCGGCTGTGGCTTGTCGCCACAGTCAACTACGGCGGTCTAACTGACCAAACATTGTTAGCTGACGGCTTTTCGTAACATGTTTGCAAGGGATGTGTTTGACATACCTTGTAGAGGTTGGGCTGGGAGGTCGCTGTCTAGCAGAACATCGTGATATTCCGCTTTACAGGAAGTACAGCATGATCTTGTCCCCAGAGACTGTCTCAGTCACCCAGGGAGCCGGTCCAGCATGGCTGGTAGGAGAGGGGTAGCCCTCGATGACACCTCGAGGCCTTGCGCGGCCACGGGTCTTTGAAATCTCGTCCTTAGTAGAAGCCAGAGGTAAACCAAAGGAGAGGGAATTGTGTCGAGAGACCATGTTGAGCGGAAGCATGACGTTAACGACCACGTCGGAGTCACTGCTGGATCACAAGGAGATGGAAGAAGAGGGGAAGGTGAGAAACATGGCGGAGGGGAATGAGCTATTTCAGGCCGAAGATTGGGCCGAAGTGGTGTAGGACATATCGCAGAACGGTGCCTGATTGCCTGAGGTGTTCTGGACAATGGGTCCGAAGGCGAACCTGAATGTGACGGTGGTCATGTCGTGTGGCCAAGGGTGGGAGAAGAAGAAAGGAAAGCCTGTGGGTGGTGAGGGACGTGAGTGGAGTTTAGGATATGAAGACGTGCGAGGTGGGCTTGCTTACGTACATGGTAAGGCGGCAGACTAAGGTTTAATTGATTGCCTTGGCTATCTAAGTCGCGTCCTTCCGATAACGCGCACGGTCGCAGCGGTGAGGAAACCGCGCGCAGATTCATAAATGCACTGTGTAAGTACGCGCATGGCGCCAGAAACTGCTGAACTCAATGATCACTTAAGAAGACCACTTTTCCTCTATTGAAGCAAATTCATGATAGCTCACGCCACGGTTCGGAAGGGCTACGTTTTGTCATATTCGGTACGCTATTGCATGCCATCTTATTGTTATGCTATTAATCATGCTCTCGCGTGAATGATGTAACTAGAGGGTATCACGACTTGCGATCAACCTCAACGGTGTCACCAACCCGAATGGTGGGATACGTGGCTGGCCTCAACGTATCCGGGCCGGGGTCATGACCCATGTGCGTGCCGAAGTAGACTTTTCCGTCAAATCTTCGAATCTTCGCCAGAGTCACGAATGGTTCTTCATGCCTCTCACCGCTCTCCTGGTCCACACAAACCATCTGGCATCGCCGGCAGGAACCCATGAGCTTGAACTCGTTCTTTCCTATTGACAGAGTCGTCCAGGTGTCCTCCGCCCATGCTAGATCCTTTGAATCCGAAGCTGGGCCAATGACAACATTGGCACGAAACGCCGCCGACGGTACTGGTTCCCCGCCGCCGGCCTCGATTTCATCATTCAGGGCGCGCAGACTCGCGGTGTTGATAAGGAGAATGGGGCTTTCGTTGGAGAGAAGAATTTTGCCTGATGGCTGCTCAGAGTCCGAATCTGGTGGAGACGGCAACTCTGGGAAGGCTCCTGGGCATACTCTGGCCGCTGTTGTTCTGATTTGTTGATGCTTCTGGGGTTTTGCTTTGGCGTGACGCATAGCGGGACCTTGTCCACCCGCTGGGAATCGTGCTAATACACAAGGAACACCAAGAGCGTCGGTGAAGAAACCGTTGATGGCGTCAGAATTGTAGATCTGGGGCGTGATGTTGTCGCCACAAACACGGGAAGATCTTCCACGAGACGAAACTTTTGAGTCGAACTGGGTCGGATCTGCGGAAAGGGGTATCCGAATCTCATCGGGTGCGTGAAAGGCCCTTTTGCCGCTGAAGGAGACGCATAAGTTTCCGCTCTTGAAGTCAAGGGAGGGCTTTATCAAGGCCATCTTCGGATATCGTTTCTGACTGAGAACTTGTCCAGATCCTTGATGAACGAGGCACCATTCTCTGTCCCAAGCTAAGCCCTCGGGCTTCACCTCCCATGCATCGCCCCGAGGTACGGAATAGCCTCCGCAGCTCTTGATAGGGTAAATATTAATGTCCTGTACCTGGATCTTCTTGCCGGGTATGGAGATACCTGGTTCCACGTCGACGAGCATGGCATCTTCTCGATAGAACTCGTGGATGAAGCCAACGAGGAAGTCCACATCGGATATGGTGCTCATAGCGCCAAGGCTTGCGCGAATGATACCTGTCGGCTTTCCAGAAACGATGTCTTCGTCTGTTCCACATCGAAAACCAGCAGAAAAGTTCCTCCGCATCTCCCAGGGTTTCAAGCCAAGTACTGATGCTACACCTCCAGGACTGCAGACACCCCCAGTCCGAACATGCAAGCTTTTCAGCGTTGCCAACTTTTCAAACTCATGGAGGCTAACCCAAGCACCAGCCGAATTGCGGAGGTTGAATGCGACGAGTGGGCCCGATCCGTCAGATGTCGCGTCGTCCGTGGGACGTTGCGAGTAGACGGTACAGATCGGCGCTCCGTTGCCGTGGGTGAGAGCTGTTAGGCCCTGGTGAAGACGCCGCCTGAGAAACGCCGTGTGCGATGCCACACAAGCCATAGTTCCGAATAGGTCAGCATGTGCATCAAGCGCAGCATCAAGCGCAATAATACTGTGAAATGGTAATGTGCCGTCTTCAAGTCGCTCGTGCAAAAATGTGGTCTTTGGCGAATGCCACCGTTCTCTGCCGCAGATGACCATGTCGACGGTGCCGCCGCCAAAATAACGCCTACTGTCGAACACCGATTCTGCTTGTTTTCTGATGATGAGGGCTCCAAGGTCTGGGAAGCCAAATATCTTGTAAAGACTGAGAACAGTGAAATCTGGTGCGGTTGTTGCGTCACTGAGATCCAGAGGGGAAGTAGAAGCTAATGAGGCGGCATCCAGAAGAGAATAAAGACGGTTGCGGGGTGGTTCAGCCGTCTGTCTAAGAAGTGCTGGCCAGCTTAGGGGGTATCGACAACCGTCCATGTGAGACTGGGCTGTATATGCGAAGAGTACGTCTGATTCAGTTTGGTTGAGTTTAGGAGATGGGACTTGCCCCGATATCCATTCTTGGACTTGAGAGTCATTGACGCACTCGCTATCGCGTGCTTCCTCGCGGACTCCGACTATGCTGGTATGGCACGCCTCATGATAAGCGAAGAAGAAACCGTCCGGTGAAGCGCGAAATGCATCAGCAACAAGTTTAATACCAGCTGTGGCGTTTGCCACGAAGACCAGGTCGAACTCTGATGGGTCGGCGTTGAAGAATCTCAGGAGTCGTAAACGGACATCTTCAATTCTGGATGCCGTGTGCTGAGAAGGCGACGAAGCTGAATGTGGATTTCCGAATAGATTCGACATCATGTCGGCAGAGAACCTATCCATGAGGGACTTTGAGTAGAGAGTTGTGCCTGCATGGTCAAGATATATAGAGTCTGTGAGGGTGGTCAACAACACTGGAGTTGTGTGGACTCAATACCATTGGCGGAGACTACCTTTCAACATGGGGTACTCTCTATCCCGAAACCCCTCCACACGAGGGTTGTATCCTTTCGCCTCGACATCAGCCATGACTGAGTAGAGGAGAACAACGGTAGAACGATGCTCTCCAAACGATGCAGTCGCGGATTTCCTTGAACGCGGAGGGATGAACAGCACAGAAAGTGGCTGAGAGTAACGAAAACGCCGGTTGCCCCGTGTATAAGAAATGCGCCGGATTAGGTGAGACAAAGCGGTAGACCAAGACCGTGCACTCGAGATGAACTACACAAATGAAAGAATATTGCCACGAGTGTCATTGCAGAAAAGAATTGGGAAACACGGCGAAGATGGAGAGGTGGTTTTGATAGTATCGTTGGAAGGCGGCCCTGCCCGCCATTCATGCTGGTAGTACCGGGCACCTCCGCTACTGTCTCGTCGCTTGCCACAGCATACTTCGCGGGGAAGCACAGTGGGGCACAGCACGATAAGGCGAGACGCGGAGCTGACCCAGCACTGTGACCCCTTTCAATGTTGCCTCAGGGTGCTTTAGGTAAGCGGATGAACCCGAGCACAGACCCGCCAGTGGAAAGAGGGTCCAAGTCCCGTCACCCGCGTACGCACGGTCCACGTTCCGCGGTCAGCCGCACTAGCCACAGCAACCCATCTGTACCTGCTCAGGAGCGCGTTTTCTCGCGAATTCAATTTACGCGACTCCAGGAGCAGGCGCGTTTCCCGGCCATCGTCGTGGCCCGCGCCTACCACCCTATTTCTTCAGTTCCACTCGCAACCGCAAATCCACTCCTTCCAATCTCTCAACTTCTCCTTCTGTATGCTCGCCAAAGCTTCGACCGAACTTTCCCCAATTGTCTTTAATTTGCGAATTGTCAGTTGCGATTGCCTCTTTACTTTACTTTAATACATTACCGCAATGTCTCGCGCCTCACTCCTCGGCAAGCGGACTAGGACCGTTCAGGACCAAGGTAAGCTCGACCGAAACTTGTCAACGGTCCAAACTTTGTTGCTAACTGCCTTGCCAGATGAAGTCCAGCTTCCTGCGAAGCGAACTAGAAGACAGACTCGAGCCGCACAAGAGAATGACGAGAACGCAGACCCCGACACGAATGCCACGTCCGAAAGCGATTCACAGGTCGACGATGTTTATGCTGAACCCTCTCCGAAGAAGCTCAAGCGTTCCCGCTCCCAGACTCTGGCTAAGGCGATCCCTGTCACGCCTCAGACTCCCCGGCACCGAGATGTCTTCGCCAATTCCCCTTCAACCCCTCGAATGGCTGTCAAGTCCGCCGGCAAGCTATTCCAGAGAATGACGCCGCAATCTCCTCTCACCCCCGGCTCTCTTCAAACCGTCTACCACTCTGCACGACAACTCTTCGCCCGCGGTGCTGATCCCGGTCAGCTTGTGGGACGAGAGCAAGAGCGCGAGCAGCTCTCTCAGTTTATTCAACAATGCTCATCTACGAACCCCAGCGGATGCCTCTACGTCAGCGGACCCCCTGGAACCGGAAAGAGTGCAATGGTGAAGGAAGTCACAGAGCACTTGACCGAGTCAACAGCTGTGCGTCAAGCAACGATCAACTGCATGAGCATCCGGTCATCCAAGGATCTCTACAACACCCTGCTTGACCTCTTGGGGCATGACAGCGACCTCTCAGAAGCATCGGCAATGGAGGCGTTGCAAAAGATCTTTGTGACGAAGAAGAAGGATTCGCCTGTCTACCTCGTTGTCTTGGACGAGATTGACCACATCTTGACCATGGGTCTGGAGAGCCTGTACCGCTTGTTCGAATGGTCCTTGCAGCAGCCATCCCGACTCGTTCTCATCGGCATCGCAAACGCCCTCGACCTCACGGACCGATTTCTGCCACGCCTCAAGTCGAAGAACCTCAAGCCGTCTCTGCTCCCTTTTCACCCCTACTCAGCGGCCCAGATCAAGAGCATCATCACCACGCGCTTAATGTCGCTGCTCCCAAAAGACAGCAAGCAAACAACGACTCCTTTCATTCACCCTGCAGCTATTGAGCTTTGCTCAAGAAAGGTGTCAGCTCAGACGGGAGATCTGCGGAAAGCCTTCGAGATTTGCAGGCGCGCACTTGACTTGATCGAGTCAGAGACAAAACAACGACACGAAAACGAAGCAAGAGAGAAGGTTTTGCAGATGACACCTTCTCGGAAGCCTCTTGGCGAAAACACCAACATGGCTGCAACTGGCGGCTCCAGAAGCGTACCTCACGTTGCTGCGGCGTCTTTGAAGGCCCTAACAGCAGAGACGGCACCTCGAGCTGCTATTGGACATCTGAACAAGGTGACGGCAGCAGCTTTCAGCAACGGCACCAACCAGAGACTGAAGGCGCTAAACCTTCAGCAGAAGGCCGCGCTCTGCTCATTGGTCGCCCTGGAGAAGCGTAACAGATCGGCGAAGATGGCAAACGGCTTGGCAACTCCGACTAAGTCGCAGTCACTCGCCCCCACAGTCAAAAGCTTGTGTGAGACTTACACAATTCTTTGCACCCGAGACTCTGTCCTTCACCCGCTGTCAAGCTCAGAGTTTCGCGAAGTCATCGGAAGTTTGGAGGCGTTGGGCCTGATCAACCAGGTTGATGGAAAGACAGGGGGCCTTGTAGCAATCCAGACGCCAAGCAAAAGAGGGCGTAAAGCGGCGATGCCAACCGGCGAAGACAAGCGGGTGGCTAGCTGCGTTGGAGAGAAGGAGATGGAGAGCATCGCCGAGGGCGTTGGTGCAGCCATCTTGACCCGAATTCTCAGTGGCGAGGCGTTGGATTAATTCTTGTATTATGGCATACCACATGGAGTTCTTTGGGAGACTTTTTTCTGCATCGCAATAGGGTCTGGAAAAGCATGGCACGTGGCGTTTAGGGGATATAACGCTGATCGATGGACATGATCAGCGTAGCATTAGACGTCAGCAATTGTCTGAATATTAACGGGATAGATGGTTGAAGGGCGTGATGTAAGATGAAGAGAAGTGTGGAGGACGGACATCAGCATGGTAGATGCTCGCGTGTCAGCACGCAGATGGTGTGAGAAAGGCATTAGAACGAGACATTAATAGCATGATACCAGACGGTTAAAACGAAACAAGGCTTGTGGAGAGCAGAGCAGACAAATGGTGCCCGAGTCGCAAAATGCAGCAGACGCTCAGATGTGAAGTGCAGTGAGACGATGAGGCGAAACGGAGGAGCTGCGGGCGGACGCACCGGCGTCAGCTCGGGATTTGGTCAGCCCATGAGCCCATGTGGAATGGAATGCCTGATGTTCTTGGGCCGGAGAATTGAACTGTCTGGTGTTTCTCCCGCAGGCCTGCGGCAGGCACACAAAGTCAAGTTGGAGACAGGCTCCAGGTTCACAGTTGCAACCAGATCGGGTGCGATCCGCTGCCGCCACGACAGTGTAACAAGACAAGACTTTCACAATGTGCATCTCCCTTCCCTCATCACTACCTTATCTTGCCTGCGGTCTTGGCTTGGCACACCTTACCGCCGTTAAGGTCAACGGGGGTACCCACGCAGGGCGTTGCTCAAACGACCTTGCCCTTTCCCTTGCCTCCATGTTCTGACTGTTGCATACTTAGCATCTTTTCCCAACTTGCATTTCCCGTTGAAGAAGAGACGCACACGGTCCAGTATGACAACGCGGATGGAGAGGCATTTTAATTCTGTCTGAAGCGGCCGGATGGACTGTGTAACTTGCCAGGCAAAAAAGGTACTGCACACTGGACGGAGCATCGAGCGAGGTACCCACTCCTATTTTTAAGTCTCGATGTTACTGGCCAGAATTGAGTCCGAAATGCCTGCTTCATGTTCAGAGTTGCCTCAAAGAGGAAGCAACTAGCAACGCACTCTGCCCAAGTTGATCGTACTATTGAATGGTTGATTGGTTACTTGTTGTCTCGATTGTGTGTGGTTATCCCGTTGGATAGACGGACGTCGGCATGGAATGCAACACCGGGCAGGCTCCAGAAGCACATGTTTTGTAAGCACACGGCGCTGGCAAGCTGGACTGGACTGGATCGGATTGGATGCAACAGGCCGGGCACAGGGCACTTCGCACAAGGGCAGCTCAGACGGCAAGGCTCCGGACAGGCCCCAACAGCGGGAGTGGCATGTCTTGGGTTCAAATGGAAGTGTTTCCCTGTCCCGGGAGGGTATGTCGAGGTACCCGACGACGACCCGAATCCAGTGCCGTCCCGTCGCCCTGAGGCCGTGAGGTGCCTTAGTCAGGCGTTAGCAGCCCCAATGACGAGGCGAGCAAGACAACCTGAAGACAAGGACTGGTCCCTACAATTGGGGCTGAGCTGAACCATCCGGGGGTACGTATTCCCACGGTGCGCCGGTCGTGGTGTTTCTGCTTTCTTCCGTTCTTTCACAAACCACACACACCAACGCTTCATTCAGACACACATCGCCAGTCGGCTGGCCCCCGCCCTCCTGGTGCCGTCCTTCCGCATCAAAAATGGGGCTCTTTCGGTGTTAGTGCAACCGACTGCGAAGTTGTTGGTCGATACCAGCCGGGCCTCCACTGTCACATTGCACATTGTCGCTGACACAGGCGCCTCACACTTCCTGCGCGGTTCCTCGGCCTCGTCACCTCGTCTCGTCACCCGTAGCAGGCCGTCAATCTCATTCTCGTTCGGCGTCCAGTCTCCCCAGAGCAGAGGTCTGGGTCCAATAGTCCGTCCGTCTATCCGTCCAGCCATCCACTTGCCTACCTAGCGTCTGTACGGATATGCTCCCCGCCCCCTCCTCATCCACGGTAGCAGGAGCAGCCCCTTGGGCATTGGTCGGTTGGCTGGGTGGATGGACTGATACAACTGATACCTGCCTGACGGCCCTTTTTCATTCTAATATCTACCTTACCCATCCGTACCATACAAGTAGTTGTCAGGCGCGCACCTTGGGTATGAGACTGCGAGTTGCTAACAAAGAGGCCCGCGCAACAACCAAACGTCGAGCAATATACATCCGGCGCACCATCCGTAGAGCAATACGTACAACACACTACGTGGCCCTGGCCCTGGCCCTGACACCCCCCTCTTCGTCCTAAATTGCCCATTGTCCATCCGCCCCCCGTTCCCGTGCCTCAGGCTTGTTCTTCTCCTGATCCCCGGCACCCACGGGCAATCTGAGACTGTGAACCCTCGAGATTTCCAGAAAAAGCGAAGCTTTCTTGGCAAGGCTCCCTCTTCGCTCTTGGCATATGCAACCAAGAAATCCGCTGCCAGCATCTCTCAAAGATCCCAGCCTGGCATTCCATCATCAAATCAATTCCCCTCCCAAGCTCTAGCAGTCGCCCACCAGTCGGACAGCACGCGGACAGTCCCATCGCGCAAACGAGCGAGCACAGGTCCCTGACGATTCGTCCCGACATACCGAGACCTCGTGGACCCGGTCGAGCCGCTTGTTCGCTGTCGAGCACCGCAACGCACCGCACCGCACCGCACCAGACAGCTGCTGCTGATTGCTGCTGTTGTGCGCCCCAGACCACTGCTGAGCTCCTCCGTAAGCCTGGCTCGCGCTCACTCATCACTGTCCGCTCGTCTCGCCGCGCTCCTCCCCTTTCGCCTCCCCGCGCCCACGGCCACAGCCTACACGGCTACGCAATCCTACTGCTGCGAGCCACGAAGGCGCTGCTCTGCGAATCCCCTCGTTGCATGTTGACGTCGAGGGTGCAACCGTCGTCGCCTCTGCTGCGCCCCCTCCCCCGTCTCCATCTCCATCTCCGTCCTTCGCCCGCCTCCCGACTCCGCCTTCTCCTCCACAACCACCGCTGCCGACATCACCACAACCACCGCAATCCCCATCACCACCTCCGACCCCGACCGATCCACGACACCGCCAAAGGCCCGGCCTGCAAGTCGCTGCATACATGGGCGCATACTCGCATTCCAACGGCTCCGTCGAAGAAACAACCTCGTCCACACGCTCGTTTTTTTCTCGCTTCGCCCTGCCGATCCGCTCGCGTACGCGTAACCTCGCCGACTTCCACGTCCGCCCCGACGACCCCCACCGCCAGTACTCGGCTGGCGACCATGTACGCGGCGCCGTAGTCTTGACCGTAGTCAAGCCGGTGCGCATCACACATCTCACCGTCACCCTACATGGCTACGTCCGCGTCCACAAGGGGCCTGCCGTCAGCGAGCCTCCTGTCGCGAATCCCGCCCTGTCTGGTCGGTCGTCGGCACAATACCACGGAAATGGTCACGCTTCGCTCTTCCAGGACGAGCAGGTGCTCAGTGGCGAGGGGAGGTTGGAGGCTTCGAAATACGAGTTCAATTTTGATTTAGTGTTCCCCGAAAAGGGTTTGCCTAGCAGCATTGATGTATGGACTCCGCTCTCGCTTGATTTCTTGAATCGCAGTGCTGACGCGCCTGGCTACAGTTTGAACGAGGCACGATTTCCTACATGATTACAGCGACTCTGACGCGTCCGACTTCAATATCACCGACGACATCATGCGACCGAAAGATTCAATTGGTGGAAAAGGTGGACATTGGGCCTCTCGCGCCTCCGCGTCCCCGGACCATTTACCTCGAACCAATTTCCAAAAAGTCAAAAAGAAAGAGGACAGGCGGTGGAGAGAAAGCTTCGCTCGCTGTGGAGAGCGTCGATCATGGTTCGGACATGGAACAGCGCGAAGCAGTAACACCCGATCCCGCAGCGTCAAACGACGAATCTACACACGATCCACTCGAGCAACCGCGGAGTCCAACTCACACAGATATCCAGAGCGAAGTCAGCGGGGACAGCACCATTAGTTCCAGTACAGGCATCAGCTTAACGCGAGCCGAACCTCGTTTAGGCGGCTCTCTGACAAACTCCAAGATGCAAGCCGTTGACGAAAAGACAATAACGGCTACTATTGAGATGCTCAAGGGCGGCGCATTACCAGGAGACACTGTTTCCGTCAAGGTTTCTGTCCAGCATATCAAGCGGATAAAGAGCATGCACGGTGTTATTGTCACTATGTACCGCCAAGGCAGGATCGATACAGCGCCGCCGGCATCAATGTTCGCGGACATCATGACAAAAGAAGAGACCAAAAAGCTTGCGAAGGAAGACTACTATCCACGGTCACGCACTGGTCTCGGCGGTCTGTCTCTGAGCTCTACGTCTTCACTAAGTGTTTTCAGGAAGGATCTCTCGCAATCGGTTGCTCCTCTGATTATTGACCCGGTAACACTGGAGACAACCGTAACAGCATCCGTCAAGGTACCTGAAGACGTTTTCCCGACGATCAAAGGTGTACCAGGAGAGATGGTCAGCTTCAAGTACCAAGTCGAGGTTCTAGTCGATCTGGGTGGCAGGCTGGCGAGTCAGCTTCAGGGCGGCGGTCAACCGAGAGTGGGACAGTTTGCTCCCGGGTCCGCTGCTGCAGAAGGCAACAACGCAGTTGTCAATTCTTGGGGTGGAAACGTCATAGACACGGATCGGTTACGGCGCGAAAAGGGCGTGATATCCGTCGTTTTTGAGGTCATTCTGGGAACAACGGACAGCTCGAGGTTGCGAGGCCGGAGTAACACGGTGCGGACGTACCAGATGCATGATGGGGCGGCCAGCGGAGAGGACATTTCGAGCCCTTGGCCGGTTGACGATATCCATGCCGACGACGGCGAGAGCTATTGGCCACTGGCCACCCCTCAGAATCCCGGTACCCTAAGCAGGCAACCTACCATCACGATCCAACCTACGAGTCCGCCTGAGGAGATGCAAGCGCCCGCCTATATCCCTCCACCGCAGGTACCAGACGAAGCGCGCTTGACAGACAAGGAACGTGCACGACGTCAAGAAGAGAGACTGTTGCCTAGTCAACCGCCTCAGACTTTGGAAGCAGGGCCGTCCGGAGCATCTGCACCAGAACCGAATATTTACGACGCCGAAGACGAGGCACAGCCAGGTCCGTCGGCACCTCACGAGGGGCACCATGCAGAAGAACAGCCGTCAGCGCCAACATTGGACGATTTGTCTACGGCTCGTGAAGCTCGCACAGAGGACAAGCAGGAACTCGAACGACAAAGGCTACTGAACGAGGCCAGCGCGCCGCCAGAATTCCCAGACGATTATGACGCTGGGCCCAGCGCATCAGCACCACCTGGTGATGTAGCTGAGCCTTCGGCGCCCGCACTCAACGACGAGGAAGAAGATTATGGCGAGCAGTATAGCTACAGGACAGAAGCAGCTGCTGGACAGTCCAGCCACGCAGCGGGCTCGGAACCCTTGCCGAGGTACGAGCGATGATGACCTTTCCAGGTTTGGGGGAAGAGTAAGAACGATGGCATGAAAATCACTGGTTGAATAGTGTATAATATGTGTGAGTGCGTGTTGAGTGTGTTGAGCATTGTGCGCCATCTACAAAGTACTATAGAGACATGAACGTGTGATACGATTTGAGAGCGAAAATACAGCAAGCAATATGACCTTTTTTCCTCATCAAAAGCTCGACAGCTCTAGCTTTTTGTGATATTATTTCAATATAGGGTACGTAGCTTGTGACACGCGAGAGGTCAGCCAAGGCCAAGCCAGGCGTTCGCCCGCGGGATACGACGAGATTGCCGGCGTCGCGCCCCCGTGATGCCAATTTTTTCTCCCGTAGTACCCGCCCTTCCGCCCGGCAGCCATCCTTCTTGGCATCGACCCCGATTGTTTGGGCCAACCCGTTGGACGGGCTTGATCGACTACCTAGAGAGTGGGAAGAGAAAGGGAAGGGCGGGAGGACACACTGGGTTCGCCGGGAACGGGATCCACTCCTCCTCGGAAATGCTTGTCAAAAGGCTTGACGAGACGATCAAACGTTGTCTTCCTCATCGACGCGGTGGACTTGTATTTACCCTGGACATCGTTTTGTGTTGGAGCCCTGTTTGTTGTCGGATGCCGACAGTCCCGCGCGACTTGTATCTCAATTTTTGTAAGGTCACGAATTGTACCTCCGGGCCTCTTAAGGGTACCTAAAAAGCCTATTGACTACCGATTGAATCTAACACAGCTTGTATCAATAATTCGGCTCCGAGGGGGATGCCATAGACCACGTCTGTAAAACTAAGCCACTGCGCAGCAGCTGGGCCAACACTAAGCTACCTTAGCTACATGGCCATTTGATTTGGATTACTCGTGCAGCGGCATAAGTAGAAGGAGCGGTCTACGAATACGCACGGATTGCGTCTCATGTGGCGCTGTCGTCTACTTGGTGTTGGTGTTGGCTTGCCTTGCTTCAGCATCATCCAGCATCACCCACCCCCCTTCTCCCCCTTGCTCACAGGACGACGACCAGATGGAAACAACAATGTCTGGGGGAGAGGGGGCAGGATCGAGGAGAAGAGAGTTTGGGCCCAACGTCGAGACAGCCGTCGCCGCAAAGCTTGGCGGCGCCTTGGCCCCCCGTTTCCTTCTCCCAGCTTCGCCTGTAGACCACAGCCAAGCCGGGCCCCAGTCCCACCTCGCCAGCCCTGTGTGTGTAGCGCATTGTTTGTTACAGAGGATGGACCCTTATGTGAGGGATAGGTAGAGAGTTCGAGGCAGGTGATTCTGTCAGATCGTACCCGAGAAAACGCGATACGGTTCAATTGGCCCGCGGAAGATGCGGCAATGTCTGTGGCTGGGAGGGAGGGAGGGGATTGGATTGGACGGACGGCTTGCTGGAGGCGCAGCACAGGTCTGCTGGTGTCGTTAGTCACGGTTTGTTGGTGTGTTGCTGCGCCGGTGGGCGAGCAGCAGTGATGGAAGTCCACCTCAGTGGGGACCTCGGTGCATGAGATCGGGTTCAACCAAGCATCAAGTCAGCGGACTTCAGTGTGGTGGCCTTGCAATCGCCGGGTTTTTGGTGGATCCAACGCCGGCAGCGCGTCCCTTTCACTTGGGTTCTTTTGATGGAGCCAGGACCGAGAGATTTCGAACCGTGTTGTTGCGGGAAGAGTGGTTCGTCTCCACGCCTCCCCTGGACCTTTTGTCAAACAGTGACACTCGTCGATGTTTTGGTTTCGCTGGCGTCAGCCATCAACAGTCGTCCCCCGTAGCGGAGTATGTCTACCGGACGATAAAAACAGCCCGTTGAGACGTCAAAGTGGTATCAGGCGGTACCATACAACGTTCAACTACGTAAATGTCTCGCAAAAAGGGGGCTTTCTGGCCCTGATGGCGCGAGAAGCAAGCGGGCGTGTGACTGTTTGACTTGAACCGGCAAAGTCTCTCTCCCCATCAACGATGACGACCGTCGCGACCAACAGAGACGAAGCAGGATGACTGGCATCCTAGCCAAAACTTACCTGCGGCAAGTGGCTCGCCAGTCTGGCTGGCGGAAAGGACAGTTGATGGTTCCGAACTCATGCGCAGGTTCCGCGGCGCGCAGCACGGCATATCCCGACGAGAATCTACACACTTGCGCAGGGCCCGCCGAGGAGTGCATGGCATGGAATCCGGGGGGAGGACAACTGTGTTGCTCGGGCATATGCCAATGCTTTCCCCAGATTGAAGCATTCCGAGTGGCCGTTTGATGGGACCCAAGGAGACAGAGGACGGGCCACCGTTGACAGTTGTTTCCTCGCTTCGCGGCGGCAAGACTGCGGTGCGCAGCAAAACCGAAGGCGATCGAATCATGGGACGGGTCGTCTCGACAGGTCGAGAAGGTGGACGCATCACCACCGCCACTAACACCCACCCATTCTGCAGAGTGGCAGACTATCCAGTGTGGCTGCGCCGTCTCCAGTGCCCTCCTACCTTACGTAGGTACGGCCATCCCGTCAGCTGGCTAGTGTGTTCACCTCAACATTTCGAGGTGCGTGCAGTACCAGCGCGGGTGCAATCTGTCGCCTCATTACACGTAAATCGGGAGTCCCATGCCGATGTATCCCCGCCCCGTCATCGGGCTCCTCCCTCAGGGCCCGTTCAATTACGCCAGCAGCCCGATTTAGCATTGCAATTGGCCCAGCGCCAAATCATCTGTGGTGCCCAGTGGGAATCTGGTAGGAAAAAAGCTTCTTAGCTCCGGCCCCGCAGCGCCCTTCGCTCTCCCCGAAGAAAAGCCACCCACCGCAACCGCACCGGGGGGTCGACTCCCAGTCTCACACTGCCACCGCGAAGAAGCTGCGTGCTGTGCTGGGCGTGGGTAAGGGTACAGCGGGCTGCGCGAGGTGCTCTGGAGTCTTGCCGGGGGTGTGCACAGCTTTCCACTGCCTTCTTGGGTAGGTATCTAGCCTGCAAGCCTTAGCACGCCTGCAGCCCAAGACCTGTCACTGGACCACTTGGGGGCCTTTTTATCGACAGTCGTTCGCCCACTCTTTTCCCTTGCTTTCTGACGGTCTCAGAATTCTTCTCTTAATCTCACACACCCATCCTTTTTCTCACTCGCAACAAAACAGCTTTCGAATCAATCGCATTCCAGTATTTCTTCGCGACATCGTTCTCTTTTTCTTCTTGCAAGAGTAAACGACTTAGACAAACATGGCCAGCAACGACTACTATAACCAGCACGGCGGCGGCGGCGGTTACCAGCAGAACTACGGTCCTGGCGGCGGATACCCCCAGCAACCCCAACCTGTAAGCTTACTCTCTTCTCTCCTCTCAATTCGCGAGCTCGGGAGCAATCGTATCGCCATGCTTGGCTCAACATGCGCGCGCATCCATTCTGAAGACTTGTCCGACTAACACCTTGATAGTCTTATGGCCCTCCCCAAGGAGGAGGCTATCCTCAGCAGGGCGGCTACTACCCCCAGGGCGGCCAGCCTCCCATGCAGTACCAGCAGCAGCCTCCCCAGCAGGCGCCCAGGAAGCAGGGCGGCGGCAACTGCCTGACGGCCTGTCTCGCGGCGCTGTGCTGTTGCTGCGTCATCGACGAGACGTGCGAATGCTGCGCGGAATGGTAAGTACACTCTTTCAATGCGCAATGTCCATCGAGAACGTCACGCTAACACTTCTTCCCAGTTGCGAATGCTGCTTCGAAATCTGCTAAACGCTCACGGCCTCTGGAAAAAACGGCAACCTATCTGACATTCGTCGTGTGTCAAGACCACGGTCTGTGGTGTTGGGAAAGTGGGGTCCGCGAACGACACCGAGAAACGCAACACACAAAAAACTGTAATGCTCGACGCTTTTCTTCGGTTGAGGGCGGCAGTGGGAGGGGTAGAGGCAGAGAGAGTCAAAGAGGCCGGCGGAAGGATTCTTTCTGGGACACGAACGAAAATGGAACGAACCGACGATTTCCCCACGGCTATCACGGCGCAAAGACCCCTGAAGAGGCGGACGACCTGTTAAAGAGATGGGATGGAAGGACGAATGATGGATGGGCGGTCGGGCGGAAAGGAACGGGACTTTTGGTTTTCATGATGGATTCAAAGCGGCCTTGACGCTTGTTCATTCTTATTCCCCCCCTTAGGCGTTTTTGGCGGCGCGTTCTATCGCTCATTTGGATGAGGTTTTGCTGGGGCGCATTTTTGCGCAATAATGAATTTCACATACACTTTACCAAATGTCCCTTGTTCGTTTCGAACAATCATAGTGCCTGGTGATGTTGAGGTCATCATGACTTGAGAAATCAATAAATGCGCTGGCTTGGCCGCAATGCACCTTTGCGTCATTAGTCCGTTCTCGGCTTGGCGGTTCAACAACAAGACTTCGTTAGCGACGATCCGTCTTCAACATATTTCACGAAACACACTTCAACAATAAAAATCATCATGTTGCCACGTGTAATTTTATTTTCCACCGGGACCCTGAACCCTCTGCAACCTAAGAATGCAAATAGCTATAGGGGCTCAAAGCAAGACTATTCGCTGGCCGTCATAAAGACTTTTCTATCTGTTCTCATCAACCCATACTTAGTTATCAAGCTGGACGTAGTTGGCAGGGAACAAGCCCTGCTTGCCGCCGTAGGAACCGAACCACCAATCCTCATCGGGGAACTCGAGATCCGTGATCGTAGCGTTCTCGGGGAATGAAAGTTCTGAAAGCACAGTTAGCATGACCTCACTCGGTAGCAGTGGGCGTGGAATCTTACCATTATCTTCCGCAGCCTCGTAATCGAACTGAGCCGTAGCAGTCCGACCGCTGCCGGCCGCCGGCGCCGGTTCCGGTTCGGGCTCCGCTTGAGCCGGGGCGGGGGGAGGCGCCGCACGCGCTGCTGGTGCCGGTTCGGCCTCGTCCTCGACGAGCTCCACATAGTTGCTAGGGAACAGACCGCTCTCGCCACGAGAGTTGGTGCCCATCCACCAGTCCTCGTCAACCATCTCAATGTTGGTGACGTACTCGCCCTCGACAAGCTCAAGCTCATTGTCCTCAGCCTTCTCGTAATCGTACTGAATCAACGCACGGTGACCGCCACCTTGTGCCTGACCGGCAGCAACCTGCTCCTGGCCAAACTGCTGCTCGGCAACTGCTGCCGCCGCACCGCGGCCAGCGTTGTTGTCCTCGTGGAGCTCCTCCTCTCTTGGCAGCTCCTCCTCAATCTCCTGCGTAGGGATGGGCCTGGGAGGCTCTCGCTCGACAGGGGGCTCGAACTCGACCTCGTTTCCGCGAGCGACTGGTTGAGCAACGCGAATGGGCGAGTCCGGCTCGGCCTCCTCCTCCTCTTCCTCCTCGGGAGCGGGACGGGGAGGCATGCCAGGGAGCGCGAATCCACCAGCGGGCGGTCGGCTGCCTGCAGGAGGAGGAGGGGGTGCCTCCTCCTCTTCTTCCTCGGCATCATTGTGAGCGGCATAAGCTGCGGCGCCTCCAGCTGCACCGGCAACGGCTGCAGCTCCCACAGCAATAGGAGCAGTACCCTTGAAACGATCGCGAAGGGCACCAACACCACCGCTGGGGGAGGCAGGTGCCTCACGCTCCTGCTCGCCAGTGTTCTCTTGGCTAATCTTACCACGGCTGTATTCGGCGGTCTGAACAGGAGCCCAGGACTTTCCGGAGTAGCCACTCTTCCACTCTCCGCTCTTCTGCACTCCAATGGGGGATGTGATAGGAGGCGACACAGGGTTCGAGATGGAGCCCGTCTTGCCCTTCTTCTCAGCCCACAGCTGGGCAGGCGTCTTGCCGCCTTGGTCAGCAAAGGTTCGGCTGGCAGCTCCAACGGGCGCAGCAGCCGGGACGGCAGGTGCGCCGAAGCCCATGCCTCCGGGCGTGGGAGCCTTCGTCCCAGTGAAAGTAGATCCACCAAACTTGTTGGCGACCTTTGGCTTGGGGAGAGACGTGAGGCGCTCCGACTGCCCGGGCTGGCTAAAAGCAGCACTGCGTTCGGCCAGGGACCTCGGACGCTCTTCATCGGCGGCGGGCTCCGGCTCGGAGGGCTTCTGCGCCTTAGCACGGATAGCCGCAATATCAACCTTGCCAACCGGCTCGTAGGCACCCTTCACAGGAGTCGGCCTGTCGTCGTTCTTTTCCTTGGCGGCAGCACGAATGGCAGCGATATCCACCTTTCCGATTGGCTGGTATCCCCCTCTTACAACGTCGCCTCGGTCTTCTTGAGAGTTGTTCCCATTGAAGCCGGAGGGTTCTTGGCGCTGCTTCGTGAGCTCTGCCATGTTCACCTTGGTGGGCTTGTATGCCGGCGCGACCTTCTCGAGCTGCGACCGGGTGACAGGGGGAGCGTCGGCGCCCCAGCCGTCTTCATCGACGTTCGCGGGCTTGCGGTTTCGTGCGGCCACGATCGGGTTGACAGATCCAACCGATGATGTGGTGGGAGTGAATACGGGCTTAGAAGCAACTGGCGGTGGGGCTGGGGAAGCCGTGGAGCCGCCGGCTGAGTACTTGGCGCCGGAGGCATCGGCAATCTTGCGCATAACGCTCTCCGGCTCGAGGTCGCTGTCTGAACGAGCGGTGATCTGGACGTGATAGCCGTGGAGGATCTTGGAAACGGCTGCTGTGTGGGTGGTGAAGTAGCCCTTGGTCCGCTCGGGGACACCGCCTCCACACCAAGCAATCAGGGCATTCTTGGGAAGCCCAGAATTAGGGTCCTTGACCTTTACGAAAGCGAATTGGATGCGACCCTCGTTGAAGTCTTCGATGAGTTCTGAGAGCTCGCCATCTATCGCGTGGGAAAACGACGTGTCAGCGTGTGTCCCGCCATGTGACGTCGGCAGCTCGGGATGGGGACCAGGAACCTACCTCCAGTGCCCTGGACCTTAAGCACGCTCTCCTTGGCACCAGTATCTTGGAAGGCATTAGCCAGAGGAGCTTGAACCGAGAACAAAGCCCATTGAGCGTATGTCGGCGAGCTCGAGCTCGGAGGCGGGCCGTTGATGACACCCTGGTAGCTGCTCTTGATCGAGGGTCCGTTTATGGACAGGTTGAGTGACGCCATTGCGAGTGTTTGCTTGGAGCTTGACCAGCAGTGGGCGCGGGTTGATGAGGCGTCGATTCCTTGGTGAGATTGGGGGGAAAAGAGGGCAAAGAAAGGAAAAGGCGGAAGATGGCAGGTTGCAAAGATCTCCGTCGGAGAGTCGCCTATGTCTTACGGGCAAGAAAGCTGACGTAGCAAACCAACCGCCTGTATTGCAGAGTCGTGGGCAGCCGAGGATTGGAGAGGCGCAGCACGGGTGGAACTAGAACTTGGAGGTGAAGCACGGTCCCACCGTCTTCCAATACGCGGGCAGCGAGTTACGCAGTCGTTTGGCTTGCCAGGTGTCGGAGCGGGGCAGGAACATACCTAAGAGCGGTTAGGTAGCTGGTAGGGCAGCTTAGGTACGAATACAGATAGAGGGGTACAGTGGGCTCAGGTACGAACACAGCAAGCGGGAGGGGCACAGAGAACAGCGCATTTCGACTCATCAGAGAATGGATGCGCCCAAACACACGCAGAAGGGGGCCGGATGCCTTACAGTGAGATCACTGTGTTCCCACTTACCTCAGCGCCCAATGAGCTGTCTGCCGTTCTCGCTCTCCCCCTCGAGCCTCCCATTCCCCTCTGGCGGGGCGAACCCGGGAGTGGTTTCGCTGAGTCAGACCTTCCATTTATGCAACTAGGCACCACAAGCACACGCCATAGACTCGTTTTCCTGATACAAGCAATTTTGCGCTCGCATAAGCTCTTTTCTGTCGCCATCGATCACGAATTGCCCCTCCAAATACCCCTCCACCGTATCGGAGACCCTGGGTTTATCAGCCGTTGGCTCGTCATTTCGTGATCCGGCACCCGACCGAACCTGTCCGCATTCTGGAATCTCTTCCTCACTTGTACAACCCCACGCGACCCATCCCGCGACTCCCTATTCCGATTGCGCCTCCCCCGATACCCCCCGCGCATCCCCTCAGAATCCTCACACCTACTACCGAAAAAAAAAGAGTTCGCGATCCACGAAGACGCACAATGTCGACGATCACGGAGATCACCAGTCTCGCCGACTGGGAGAAGCACATCGCCTCCACACCGCCGTCCACCCTCCACATCATCTCCTTCCACGCCCCGTGGGCCGCCCCCTGCGCGCAGATGGCCACCGTCCTCTCGACCCTCGCCTCAGAATACCCCGTCACCAGCCCCCCAGAGACCTCCTGGGTCTCCATAAACGCCGAGGAGCTCAGCGATATTAGCGAGACCTACAATGTCACTGCAGTGCCCTTCCTTGTCCTCCTGCGCAACGGCCAGGTCCTCGAGACCGTCAGCGGCAGCAGCGCCGTCAAGGTGCGCAATGCGATCGAGACACACGCCAAGAAGTCGGCCGGCGCCGGCGCGGTCACGGTGAACGGAAACCAGGGCGTCGAGAACGGGCCCAGCGCGATGCAGGTCGACGAGCCCGTGGACCCGGCCAAGGCCAAGGAGGAACTGTTCAAGAGGCTGGCGGACCTCGTCAAGGCCGCGCCAGTCATGCTCTTCATGAAGGGCACACCTAGCTCGCCCCAGTGCGGCTTCTCCAGACAGCTTGTGGCCATCTTGAGAGAGCACTCCGTCAAGTACGGTTTCTTCAACATCCTGGCAGACGACGAGGTGCGGCAGGGGCTGAAGGAGTATGCGGACTGGCCAACCTACCCTCAGCTCTGGATCGACGGAGAGTTGGTTGGTGGTCTGGATATTGTAAGTGTAAATCAAGACCATTCGTTTCTACACGAACTGACGCCTTGCCACAGGTTAAGGAAGAAATCGCAAACAGCGATGACTTCTTGGGTCCTTACAGTATCAAGGGCAATGAGACTGCCGCTACTTCATAGACAGAATGTTGATGAGCAGACTATTGAAAAACGGTGTACCCCATGTACTAGCGGCTTTATCTGCGACTTCTAGTTACAGATATCCCCCCTCATGAGCATGTTGGAGGTCACTCACCACCCACCGCCGATGTCGTCCATGCAATTCGCCAATCAATGACAATTCAGATCGCAATGTCCGCAGTGCGCGTTCACGGTGGCATCGGTGGGAAGAGTGGGCAAGGTGGAAAGGCGAGCAGTGACAATGGGGCCCAGAAGAACAACGCAGTCGAGTGGGCGATATTCATGATGACGCATCTGTCGTTATGTAGGCATGACTTAGTCATGAATTTAATGAAACATTCTAGAAGCCATATTGGTAGGCCTCTGCAGTAGCTGATGTGATATTGAAATTTATAAACGCGGCAGGACTCACCATGAGGACTCACCATGGGTTTTTCTAGCTGGGCATTGTCAGTTGGCTTTCCGGGCAGTGTGCCCTATGACTTCCATCGTAGAAAGGCAGACGTTCATCTCCAAGTTCGCCGCGCATGCAGTACCTTGGTTGTTATATATGGTCGGTCGTTCAGTCAACGAAGCAGGGCCTGGTACCTAGCAATAGCAGGTACGAGGGACCGAAAGTCCAAGGTCGGATAGGCAGTAGCAATCAAATGGATATTCGTCTCAAAAAACCGCAGGTATTGTCAGTAAGTCAGCAGTTGAACCCCTTAATGTTATTTCCGTGCGAGCTCAAGTCATCGAGTTGGGCGAACACCAGCAGGAATACGCCAATCTGGTCTGACAAGCATATCTAATGCCCTTCCCTCCTTTGTAATACTTATTTGGCCAGAGAAACGGGGCCATGGTAGTTGTTTCTGCTTATCAAGAGACATCAGTAGCGCACGCCGCCGCTGTCTTGTGACTGAACAGCAGGATCTCTTATTCAACCGGCAGGTGTTGAGCAACCCCTGAGACCTCTTTCTTCAACTTTCTCAACCTGTCAAGAATGTTTCTGAACCGGCAAAGAAAGAGATGTCCTCGACGATTGAGATCTTGCCAGCTTGTCTCACTGTTGGTCCACCAATGGCACCAGTGCCTGCCATGTTGGGACAGCCTCCTTTCTGTGGGAAACTGCTCATGTCTCCTGAAGGGACGAGAATACAGATCACTTCTCTCTGGAATCCATCCGACACAGGTGCTTAATCTCACCACCCTCATCACTTTTAGCTAACAACATCACAAGAGGTCAGCAATCCCTGTACCTCTTTTTCTTTTTCTGGATATTGAAAGCAACATATCATGGCCCCAGTCTTCTCCTTCAGGTACACCACTTACGGTGCAGGCTTCAGCACTGCCCACGATCCCAGCTTCCCCATCAGCGACAGAACAGACGGACTACTGGCGTTTCTCACCCCGTTTCAACGCCTGAAGACCGAGCTCAACCGCAAAAACGCAGCTCAAATAGACGGACGTCCTTTCCTCGTCCAGTGGTTTCTGCCCATTCCGAGATGGGGGAAGACGCTGAAGAAGACCATCGAAGATGACTTGAGGAATCTTGTACATCCTGCACCGCTCCTCAACCTCTCACTTTATTCGGTATCCAGACGTACGATAGACCATCCCCAAGGCGATATCGTAATCGTCGCACAGGCAGCTACTGAGGAAGCCCGCCCGAACCATTCACAACTTCGCAGCCGGGTGTACCCCAAGATCCTAAGGCTTCTCTCGAGGTCAGTGCTGGAAGCTCGTCATTTGCTGCTTTCTCCATCTGGATGGATTTCATACCAACCTCTTCCACAATTGCTCAAGAAGCAGACTCTAACCCCCCTTTTATTAGTCCTGAGGTCGGCAGACCTGAAATCGGATGTTACGTGGAATACGCCATCGACCCTCGTCGGTTGCTCAACCCGTTGGGGATTTTGCCCCCGAAGGAACCCGAAGAAGATCTGACGCGAACTCCTGACTTTTCCGGTTCGGGCTCATCATCATCGAGTACTTCGAGACCGTCGAGCCCCATCACCGCTCCTCTCGACTCTGATGGTCCGCAGCCTCCTGAGGATGAGGACGAAAAGGCAAAAGAGGAGGCGGATCCCGTTTCCGAGTTCTTCGACATTGATGCATATGATGCTTCGAACAGCCCAGGAGACCCGAGTGCCGAGAGCTAGACGGGAAACAGCTATGGTGTATGGAACCTAACAACCAATACGAGTGTACCTTTATGGCTTATCCACAGCGCTTGTTTTTCCAGCGGACGTGTTTCTTTTTGGTATAATGGGAGGCTCCAGTCTGAACGACCGACTCGAGGTGATGGACGCACGGAAAGGGGGGTCAACCCAGTAAGACAAACATTGACATAGAGAAGAATTGATTGAGGTGTACTGGCTAGAAGGCAAAAGGATACGAGACTTTAGGGTTATTGCCGAACCCCAAGCCTGTCCAACAGAGTTTCTCAAAACAAATACCAGTATGCGAATCTGGCCATCTGATTTATTTCCTTTTTTGATATGTTGTAGTTTGTGATATTCAAAAACCACTTGGCGCCAGCATCTTACAATTATGGACAAGGAAATCCCTTACGCTACCTTTTCGCTCTCGCCCCTCTTAACCATTATCATGTCATCATTCTTCTCTGTCCACCGTCTACAGCACGTACGTGACCGCAAGAGCTGCAGCACCGCCAACGAGCGCAGCAACATAGCTCTTCTGCGCCTGCCTGCTTCCGCCAGATGTAGTGAGGACCGAGGGAGGGGACGTGGCAAAGACGAGACCGGTCGTAGGTGCCGCGACTCCCTGGGCCTGGATATTGCTCGCTAGCACCATGGAAGTCATCAGGGAAGACGGCAGCGAGATGATCGCGCCGAGGCGGGGAATGGTGGTAGGGTCGGCGGGGGTGTCCAGTTGCGGCACTGCGGTCGGCCTCGAGCCCGTGCCGGCAGACTGAGAGCTAGCAGGTGTGGACGCAACGGTCGAGGACGGCGCGGTTGCCACAGGGGGTCTGCTTTCCGCGTTGCCTCCCGCGTCGGAGCCCTTCTCGCTGCCGTTCTTGTTGCCCTTCTCCTTGTCGCCGCTGCCAGTGCTAGGTGTCGGCGTTGCGGGTGCGACACTGGAGCTGGGGGTCGTCACCGCAGAGGGCACCGGGGGAGAAGATTGAACTGGGTTGAGAGGCGGCTTGACGGCGGTAGCGGCGGGGAGTTCCGAGGGCGTGGTAGCGGGAGGAGCGGCAGCAGGAGGTGCTGGAGCGCTTGTATCGGCCGGGGGAGCAGAAGGGATAGGGACCGGGGCGACGGCAGCAGGCTCGGTGGCGGGAATGGCTGGCAGTCCGGTAGCGCTCGTGTTCGACGGGATGAGAACCGGGGGCAGGGAGGCGGAAGCCGCAGCCGTCTCGGCGGGAGTGCTGGTATTAGCCGGGGGGACAAGCACCGCAGGCAAGGTGGCAGCGGGCACAGTCGTGTTAGCTGGAACGGCAACCTTGGATTCGGCGGGAGTAGAAACGGCCGGAACAGTCGTGTTGCCAGGGACAAGAACGGCCGGTTGGGTGGCAGATGCCTCGGCGGGAGTGCTGGAGTTCTTTGGCGGAATGAGAACCTGAGGAAGGGAGGCGGTGGGTGTCGCAGATGGCTTGATGGAGACACGGCTCTGTTCAGTCGCGGGAGGTGTTGTTGCAGGTGCGGTCTGGTTGTTTTTGATGGGAGCAGGCGAAGGAGCAGCAGCGCCGCCTCCAGCGGGATCGATCGTCGAGAAGATGGGGGAAGGCGCTGCGTCGGTGCCGTTGCCGCCAGCTGCAGGTTGTCCTGCCGCGGCAGAAGTCGTCGGGGCCGCAGTTGCTTCAGCGCCGTCACTGTTTCTGTTGCCTCCTCTGCCCTTTCCCTTGCCTTTGCGGCGACCGCCAGTCGCAGGAGTTGTTGCCGCGGGAGCGGTCTCTGCCGGCGCAGTAGCGTCGCCAGCAGCATTGGATTTGGCAGGAGCGGCAGGAATCGTACCGTTGGCAGGAGCAGCTTTCGCAGGAGCAGCTTCGACAACGAGTCCAGCAGGGGTGGCCTCGGGTGGCAAGTCACCAGAGTAAATCGTCTCCGGGGCGTTGGGCGGCTTGGTAAGAATCTGAACCTCAGCTCCGACGTAGGTCTGGACGATGGGCTGATCCGTAAGTTGGTTGATCTTGAACGACTGGGACATGACGGTAGCCTTGGCAGAATCGGTGATGACCATCATGAAGCTGTCAAAGGCCGCGATGGAGGCATCGGGTGCCCAGTACAGCCGACCAACATTCTGGATTTGCTCTGTCACTCTTGTTAGTATACCACATCCCCAAGCCATCCTTCACGATGACCTTACCGCCGATCCTCTCCGCAACAACTGAACCATCCGTCACTCCGCTGGGTACCAGGTCGATGTTGATAGGTCCCTGCAAGCCTGCCGTCTCCCACTCAATCGCAAATTTCTCGCCAATGTTAAAATAATCTCCTGCCAGGGGCTTCGTGAACTGGGCGTCGGCGAAGGCAATGCTAGCCAGCAGAGCCAGAGACTTTGTGAAACGCATTTCGTCCAAATCTTTTGTTGATAGAAGAGTCGTGCTGGGGTCGGCTTAATCGTCAAAAGGTCCTCGAGAAGAAGAATTACGGGAGTAGAAAAAAACGGCCAACTAGGGCACGGGTATCGAGGTCGAATCGAAAAAGAACGTAACGAAGGGATTGCTTAAGAAAAGCTGGCCTGCAGACGGGTTGACTAGAGAATCGAAAACATTAACCAACGACCACAAAAAAAAGGATCGTCAGTTAGAAAGAAAGGCGCACACAAGTAATGAGTGAGAAGCGAACAAGAATGGAGAAACCAGAAGAAAGGGAGGCAAAGAGCCGTCCCAAGAGCCGCAAAACTCGGGCTGGTGGCTTTGATATGGATCTCCTCGCGTGTAAGTCAACGTTACCACCCCAGACAGTGGATACTTGTGGCAGGCCCAAGGGTGAACCCCCCCTGGACGTCATCTCAAGGCTTCAAGCTTAGGAGAGAAAAGGCTCGGCAGGGGTGCTGGGGGCGTCTCATCGGCCGACACACGCTACCGAGCCCTTCGGAGCGGCGTATGAGGTCGCACGATAGATTGGCTGACGGGGCCGGGGCCTGGACGCAATGGGTGGCATTGAGAAACATTTCTCCCCGAAGGGTGGGCCCAGCCACTCGGGGGCACCCAACGCGGTGACGGAGGATTGCGAAACAACCATCCATCGCAATGGGGTGGGCACTGGTGCGGGAGGGGGATCTCGCAAGAGGCGAAGCCTGGTTTCGCGATCCCGGCCTCTTGCATCGCTTGGCTGTATTCAAGCTCGGCGCGTCGTCACTAGCCGCTTGGTAGTGTGTGAGCCGCATTGCGCGGCTTCATGGTTGAGGTCTCATAGACCGTAGAGTGAAGCCCGAGACAGGCAAAGACCCAATTGGTTGCCCACAGCTCTCAAGCTCTCGTCTTAAACTTGCAATTAAGCTTGAGTTGATTTGTGTCTTTAAGCATGTAAATGTATAAGCAGCGCAGTTTCGTCCAATCCTCGTTTGATGACCCGGCGGGATGGATGAACGCCTTGGTGCGTTGAGGAGGTTGAATGAAAGTCGGGATGACAGGGGCCGGTGCAAAGCGGCGGCTGAGACGACGTCCTTGAGCTGATCAAACTCAAACCTCCCGCCCGGAACCAAGCCGCAGAGTGGATCCATGTTAGTGAAATCCACAGAGACCAGGCGGTCTCACTAACAACGCGCACTGACCAAGCCCCTGTCAACGCAAGCAAGTCGCTCTGGGGATGAACCGCCCTGTATCACCATTTTCTCCGTGTTTGATCTTGTTCTCGATGGTCACCTCGATGGCGCTGTTGGCCCCCAGCCATAGTCGCCCTTGGCGAAAATGATAGTCCAGACTCGGTCTTACGTAAAAGACGCTTGTGTGATTGAGACGTGAATAAGCATTTTGACACCCGTGCTAAAGCCATACGATAGATTAAAAGTCCAGGAGGGAAGTGGAACTTCATATACCTAAGGCTTCGGCCTTGATAAAGTTTAGGTCAAGAAATATGCTTGATCCATCATGGGTTGGCCATACCTTATGCCGCTGTTGTTCAGACGGAAAGATGTGTGTGGCGGTGGATCGACAGTCGTAAAGCAGCATCCTGGGAGCTCGCACCCTGATCCAATGTGACTACCACTATTTATCACTGTCGCTATTGACGCTGTCCTTGTCGATATCCTTCATGGCCATTGATGTTATTTGGTAAGTATTCGGCAGATAGTATTCAACAGAAAGCAATTGCGCCTCACGAGTTCATTAGTTGACTTATCGCATACAGAAAACAGCGGCCTGAAAACGGACGCATCCGTGACATTCTCCAGTCGCCTACTTGATTGATACCATACAGACCCAAAACCATCACCGCGAACCCAGCAGAGGCCAGCATGTTGTGTAGTCCTCTCTCTGCCCAAGAAAAACATCGTCTTAAATTTACATCATAATCTATCACAGATACTTTTCTGCAAAAGCAGTTCCGAAGCATTCTCTGATTTCCCTCAATATCGTATTGGGTTTAGACAAGCCTAGGAAAGCATCACTGAAGGCAGACCGTCCCCTAAGCGCCTTCAGATTGGTTTCCAGGCGTATTCGTGTTGGAGATGCCGTGGAAAGCATCACCGAAAGCAGAGTCATCTATTTCCGCGTTCATGTCCAAGCCATCACCCAGCGATGCTCCATAACTCGCCATTGCATCGCCGGCAGAATCGAGATCGCCGAGGGAGCTGAAGCCACCAGGGGTCTCTCCGGCAGGGGTACCGGCGGCAGAAGGAGCTTTGGGAGTCGGCTTCGGGGCCTCACTCTCAGTCGCATTGGCGTTGGCCGCGGCGGCAGGGTCCGGCGATGCACCCCCCTTAGGTACCATCACCCAGTCCCCGCTGCCAGTCCCTTGGTCAGGCGCGGTGGGTGCATCCTTTGGAGGTTCTGTGTTGCCCATTGTGACGTCCTCTCCGCCAGATGGGACAGACTGGACCTCTGACTCTTCAGGGATCGTTGTTGGCACTGGCGCCGGCGAAGGCGCGTTTGCGTTGGCCGGTGTGCCGGCGTTCGAGTTGAGCGCTGAAAGGTGAGCCTGTGGTGTGGGGAAGTTGTTGACAGGAGTAGATGTGGCAGAGAAGCCAGTGTGCATTTGATCAAGGAGACCCGCAGCAGTGCCGCCCATGTCGATGTCCGAGTCGCCGACCATAACGCCACTATGTTGAGAACCGGCCTGAGAGGGTCGCCGGGAGGCGGTACCGCTTGGCTCAGCGCCTGCCGCCGGAGCTTGTGGAGAAGCCGCAGGCGGCGGAGCTGGTGTTGGCTCTTTCACGGGCTCAGGGGCCGGCTCCTGGAAGCCGCCATCCTGGATACGATGAACGTTGTGAAGGACCTCAATATGGCGGCCAAGGTTGGCTTCGACTTGCGCCACGATGTCATCCACCTTCTTGTTGTGCTTTTGAGACCATGTGCCAGAGTTGTCGTCCGCATCTGTGGAATGGCCCTCCAGACGCCAAATCTCCGGGCCCCGCTCCTGAATGGAGTTCTTGACCTCCTTCTCTGCATCCACAAACACGGAGCTGGCCTTTAGACTAGCCAGGTTCTTTGCATGCTCTGCCTTCATCTTCTCCATTTCCGCTTTTGTCGTCTCGAGATGTTCTTGGACTCTCTTTCTGAACTCGTCTGCGAGACCAGGCTCCAACCGACCAATGTACGGCTTCTGAGGAACCTCAGTAAGTGCATTCGCGCTTTGTGCCGTGAAAATACCATCGGTCAAAGATGCGAGCTCACCCTTAAGGCCAAGTCCGAGATCAGGCGGTGCGATTTGGGCGAGACCGTAAGGGGAAGAAACGATCTCTTCCATCCACTCGTGGTTCTGCTGGTACCGCGCAAAGGAAACGTCTCTGGGAGTAAGATGGTCAAAGAGGTCCTTCTCCAATTCCTCATCGTCGTGCAGGGCTTCGGCGTGCGCCAAGGCTTGTTGCTGGGCTTGCGCCTGAGCCTGGGCCTGGGCTTGAGCCTGGGTTTGGCGGCCACGGCGACCCGAGGGGCCAGAGGGAGGGTAGGCCATCTGCTGAGGAACCCTCCGTGACGGGGCTGGAGGGTTGTACATCTGAGGTCGTCCTCCATTGCGGGGGAACTGGATACTTGGCCAGCTAGCACGGTCGGATAACATGAAGTCCTTGCGAGCAATCTGACCGCACTTCTGCAGGTGGTTGCGGGTGGCCATGATGTGCTGAGTATCTTGGGAGACGGGAATAAGGTTGACCGGCACGCGGTCAGGAGGGTCCGACGGCCCGTAGTGGACGATCCAGAGGCTGATATCGGGCTGCGGCGCGTTCATCACACCTGTCTGCGAAGGCACAAGACGGAATCTGCGGCGGGCATGCATGGCGACCGACTCGCCGGGGATGAAACCCGACTTGATGTAGTGGATCTCGAGAGACTATGTCCATTGTCAGTAATGGGACCAACGGCGTGACAAACAGGCAGCATACCAATCCATTGCCAACGTCTTGTCTGTGGTATTGCTCAGGGCCCCAGATCATGCCATCGCTGGCGAAGTTGGTTCCAAGCCTTTTGAGCGGTTGCCATGTGAGATAAATCTGGCCGTCGCGGGGTCTATCGAGGTAGGTCCAGAAGAACGGGGCCTTGTCTTTTGCGACTTGAGGGGCGGCCAAAAGCCATTTCGTAACTTGGTTCAAATCGACACGTGCCTGGTCGGCATAATGGTTCGCGGAAATCAGATGAGCATGGCTCAGCTGTCGAGACGTTAGCGATGCGTCTTCATCAAATGCGCGTCAGGGCGGCGCTGCGTACAAGCTCCTGATCAATTCCGTCACTCGGATCCTGAGCCATGATGGGTCGCGGTCGCGGATTTTGGATATGGTCGTGATTGGCCGTCCTCGATGCGCGATTCTTATTGGCGCAAAGCAATCAATCTTTCCATCAACTTGCAATCTCGTTCGTGGGAAGAGAAGTGCGCAAAGTGACGTTGATGGATGGATGCGTGCGAGATGTGGGAAGGCTGGGGTTGATGGTTGAACTGGCTTGAAGGTCGGTTCGCGTCCCCAAATTTCTCGCGACGAGGCTGAGGTGCCTGAGGTGACCCCTGTCGCGCCAAAGCCAACCAGAAAGGTCTCCGTCTTGGGTCCGTGCGCGGATAGCTTTCCTAGGTACCTAAAGGCTTATGCCTCAGCGGAGGTTCTCATGCCTTTTTCTCTTACGGAATCTTTGTCTTCGAAATTATATTTGTCAGCCGTCAACATGATACTATTGCAGGCCTCAATCGGAACCAAGTTCAGTTCAATGCAACTAAACTTGCCTCAAGTTGAAATGTAGTCAATTTCAACCTAGCTTTGAAAAACCCCCATCCTTGGTTCGCAGTGTTCGGTTGTCCAAGTCAACTGGTGGTTTTCCAATTTTCACGCCACATGTCAGTGGTTGATGGTTCTCTCTTCACGGTACTGTCTCACGCAACTGTCACTTTTATGCGATATCAAAATCAAATGGGAGGAATCATTTCATTTCGTTTCGCCTGGCACCATTATACCAGGTATCATAATAGTTTGTGCCCTTTCCTTAGTCTACGCGTAACCCATCCAAAAATCCTTTTAAGCGTTGTAAGTAGAAGCAGAGACGTTGCCTCCGCGACCTGTCCAGTTAACGTGGTGGTACTCGCCAGCCTTGTACTTCTCGTTGGCCAACTCAGGCTTGACCAGGAAGGTGTGAGCACCGAAGTAGTCACGCTGGGCCTGGAGAAGGTTGGCAGGGAGGTCCTTGGTGCGGTAGCCGTCGAACCAAGACAGGGCGGTGGAGAAGGCAGGAGTCGGGATACCGAGGAGGGCAGCCTTGGCAACGACGTCTCTCCAGCCGGGCTGGGCCTTGTGGATAGCCTTGTTGAAGAAGTCGTCGAAGAGGAGGTTCTCGAGGTCGGGGTTGCTGCGGTAAGCGTTGGTGATGTCCTTGAGGAAGACGGAGCGGATAATGCAGCCACCACGCCACATGAGGGCGATGGAGGGCTTGTTGAGCTTCCAGCCGTACTCCTTAGCGGCCTACAAAAAGCTCGTTAGCATTGCATCGTGGAAGTTTGGGAAAAAACGTCACGTACCTCCTGCATCAGCATGAAGCCCTGAGCGTAGGAAACGATCTTGGAGGCGTACAGAGCCTGCTCGAGGTCGTCGATGAACTGCTCCTTGTTGCCCTCGAACTTGTTGTTGCGGCCAACGTACTGGAGAAGACCGGAGGCCTTGGTACGCTCCTCCTTGATGGCGGACAGGCAGCGGGCAAGGACAGCCTCGGCGATAAGAGTGACGGGCATGCCAAGGTCAAGGGCGTTGACGGCAGTCCACTTGCCGGTACCCTTCTGGCCAGCCTGGTCGAGAATCTTCTCGACAAGGGGAGTGCCATCGTCGTCGTTGAAGTACATGATGTCGCGGGTAATCTCGATCAGGAAAGAGTCGAGAACACCCGTGTTCCACTTGGTGAAAACGTCACCAATCTCCTTGTTGGACATGCCGAGACCGCGCTTCATGATGTCGTAGGCCTGAGCGTGATATTAGTTGATGTCAGTTATTGGGGCCAGCATCGTCAACACATACCTCGCAGATGAGCTGCATGTCACCGTACTCAATACCGTTGTGGACCATCTTGACGTAGTGACCGGCACCCTCGTCACCAACCCAGTCGCAGCAGGCCTCGCCGTCGCTCTTGGCGGCGATGCTCTGGAAAAGCTCCTTCAGATGGGGCCAGGCCTCCTCGTTACCACCGGGCATCAGGGAAGGGCCGTAGCGGGCACCCTCCTCACCACCGGAGACACCGGAGCCAACGAAGCGAATGCCCTTGGTCTCGCAGTACTTGGTGCGGCGGTTGGTGTCGGGGAAGTGAGAGTTACCACCATCGATGATGATATCGCCCTTCTCAAGGAGGGGGAGGAGGTTCTCGATGTAGTCATCGACAGCCTTGCCAGCCTGGACGAGGAGCATCACACGGCGAGGGCTCTTAAGCTTTGAAACAAAGTCGCCTAAGTCTTTCGCGCCGACGATGGACTTGCCTTTGGCCTCGTTGGCCAGGAATCGGTCGACCTTGGACACGGTACGGTTGAAGGCGGCGATGGTGAAACCGTGCTATATAAAGGTCAGCAACTTCTGTATAACTTCAAAACGGCCGGGAAAGGCCAAATAAAGGGTGCACGAGCATCGGCTGCGTTCAGGATAATGTTGTAATTTATTTGTTAGCTTCTCAATCATTCGGGAAGGGTTTTGGAAGACTTATTTGACCCATGACGGCCAGGCCGATGAGGCCCATATCAGCGCTGCGATGTGGTTAGCTACTATTCACATCCGGATTTTGAGTATTCGGGCGCGAAGTAAAGCGGGGCGGGACCTCGGAGCTGGCACAACGCTTGCCACGATATTGGCAAGACGAGCGCTGGTTGTATGAGCATGAGGTGTTGCGAGAGAAGCTGATAGCTCACGGCCAATATGCATTGGCACCTCCCGTGAACCCGTCCAACCTCCTCAACCTCACGACAATACACACAGCTGCGCGAATTGGCCAGCATCATGATGTCGTCGTGAGGCTTCGGAGGCCGGAAGCGGGGTGGTGGGGTAATTTGCTTTGGAGCGACGGGGGAGGGGAATGAAGCAGATGATACTTACACTGGTCCAGACATGATGGCGGTTGGTCGGTATGAAAATGTAGGGGTGTTTTGATGGAGGAGAGGTTCAAACGCGCGATTCCACGAAGACTGCGGGAGCGTCGAGTTATTTATCTCAAGGGGAATGTGTCAAGAGGACAAGAAGCTGGAGCTTTCGTCAACCCGGACGAAGTTTGTAGGGGGAGGGTCGACGGAGGGGTAGGAGGGGACAATGGGAGGGGGGTGGTTTGCATTGGGGCAGGGGCCCCCCCATGACAACCTGCACACTCCCACTCTTAGCTTCCAAGTACTCCCACGCAGTAGGAGGCACAGGGCGTACATGGTGCGGTACCTGGTGCTTCATCGCCGCCATCGCTGCTGTGGGAAACGCCCACGGCTGACTTTCGTCTTTTTGCGTGAGGGAAAGCCAAAGACTGGGCAGAAAAGCGGGACGCCGGTTGGAGCGATTGGCTTTGTTGACGGAGCTTACTCATGGGCAACATGTACTGGCCATGTATCTTTGGCATTTCCCACCAGCTCTTCCAGCGCTTCCGTCCACGCAATGAGAGAGAGATACAGAGAGACCAGAGACCGAGAGACAGAGGCAGAAAGAAGAGGGACGGCATCGTCACCACCAGCCAAGGTGCTCCATCAAGGCCCCTTGTGCTGCCTCCTCCAATTGGGTGGTTTGTCATGGAGGGGCACTTATGACGATGTTCTTCTGCTACCTCATCTTTCTCGCTCTTGTCAGCAGCCCGGCTCCCCCGTCTGGCATCTTTGCCTAAACACATTTTGCAGCTTGCCTGTATGTATTGCCGTTTTGCAGGGAACACAGACCTGCAACATGATGATTGACAAACAAAACGAATAGCATCAAGCAGCATCATGTCCTCTGACTAGAGAGCGCCGTGAGCAGGTACCAACTTGGACCCGTCGCTTTGCTCATCAGCACGCTGCGACGCCGGTGTACACAGCTACCGCATTGTGGCCGTCAGCCGGCCCGCGCGGCGGATGGCGGCCCAGCAACGACCATCATGCCTGCTCCACGCCGGTGGTGTTTTAGTCAAGCAGAGGCGCGCCAGCCTTGACGAAAGACGGTCCTGACTCCTTGCAAAAAGGCGCTTCTGGATCCGTCCTGTTGTGGTCCGATTCGGCGATAGTCACCCTTTCCCATTGGCCGCCGCGAGTTTCTGCCTCACACTCTGCGTGTTCCAGGAAGAGACGAGGTGCGACTCCGGTATCCAAACCTGATGCGTCAGACCCTGACGTTTCGCAACCCACGGCCGCGGAGGAATCACTCTGCGCTCGGTCTAACTTCACGCGGGGGGCTCCTGCTAATCTGTCCCTGTCCACGCCCACGTCCACTGCCCACGATACCTTATTTGCGCAAGGTTGGGCAACGCAAGAGAGACAGTGGGCTGGCGGCATATATTATCACCCTCCCAACGCAACGGAGCTCCGGTGCTCGCTCGCTCGTTCGCTTCGCCCGCTCTTGGACCGTTCATCGACAGTCAGGGGGGACGCCGACGAAAGGCGACCGCGAGAAACAAGAGACACGGTGCAGTCGAGCTATCACTCGAGCAGCCGCCCTGCACAAACCAGCATGTGCCTCATGCCCCGGACTGCACTTGAGGAAATTCCGTTTCTTCAGCATGGGAAAACACCCCCTCCCATGCTCCGGGCCGTTCCAGCATAGCAGAGCACAGCATGGCTTCCAGAAACTCCGGACATGGACCCTTGAAAGATGGGAGGAAGGGCGGCGTCGCGTCGCTGCCTTTGATCACAATGCGAGCTCTCGGCGTGATGCCGTCTGGCCGTTAGTCTTCGGAGGGAAGGCCGCAAAAAAAACAAAAAAACGCAGCCTTGCCAGTGACCACTCAAACCCAACCTCAACGCATCTGCTGTCTTGTCCTCGCTTGAAGAAGGCAGCGATGCCGCATCCGCGTCTGCATGCGCCTCGCAGCTGGCATCCCTGGCTGTTACTATCCCTGGAAAGACTCGCCAGCAGACAGCGGGACTCGCGCAGAATACGCGACAAATCACGATGCGCTTCAATGGTGTGTAGTCTCCAGGCAAAAGTCGGTCCCAACCAAACCGAAGCTGGCCGTAGCCAGAAAAGCCCGCTCCATTTTCCTCCAGTTGGACTGCTTGGCCGGAGCAGCGAATTCAATCTATTGGGTTCGTTGGGGTGCCCCACGCGTTTTGCTTGCTCAGCCGGAGGGGGACAGAAAATATCGCACCTCCATCTCCCAAGGTACCTCAAGGTGTGGATGGAGGCGCAATCGACGGTAAATCCGTCCATGCTGATGCCACCACACTTCGGCCTCGGGCCTGGCTCAGTGGTGCTCACAAATCTGGGCCGTGACAAAGGAAACGAGGGGCAACCTTTAGGTGGGGGTTAAACACCTAACACCGTATCGCCGCCTTCGGGCCTTGGATCGGTCGCACTTGCACGGGTCGGAGACGTCGGTTGACAACTCCGCTGGAGCTCCGCTAGGAATCCACGCGCATTATTGATTGGCATGGACCTGACCGTGGCAGTCGCAGCGGCCTCAAACGGGCCCTCTCCGGACGCCATGATGTCAATTCCCCATGTAAGGAGGGACGTGGAAGAGACACAGAATAATTGCACTAACAATTATCCGCCATGTCCGTCTGATATTTCTCGACGGATAAAATGCGTCTGATGCAGGAACGGGTGGTAAGGAACTCGGGCGGCCGAGGAACCCAGCCGAGCGGAACGATACCACATGGGAGAAATGGCTCAAGACGGAAATTCCGTCCGCTTGTTTTCCGCTTGATTCTGGCGACCTGCTGGGCCTTGGCGGATGGAACTGCACGGAGTGACCTCGGTATTTGCTGGCGATTGAATTATGTAAGCCCGTGATCGACGGCAGTTGCGGACCCACCATCCGAAGAGGGGCGTGGAACACTGAAAGCACCGACCGGCTCCGCTGACATGTTCCAGCCACAGTGATACACGTGACCATAGAAAGCTTGTTCTCAGCCACACATTCCAAGGCTTTCGCCGAGGCTGCGACGCCAATATCATCACATCCTGCCCGTACATCACCAACAACACCCAGATCCTTTGCCATTTGCGACAACACCAGACGCCACACGTCGGCTGCAGCAAAGACACAAAGCTTAAGGGAAATCTCTTTGAGCAGGAAATACCCAGGCTCAGAGGTACGTTCAACACACACAAACAACACCGCGCAAAGTCTTGTTCTTTGCGAAGGAGCCCAAACCAAAAAAATCCTCCTCCACATTATCCGCAGTCATTCATCATGGCCTACCCGCCGCCTCCAGGTATCTCCAGCGGCGCCTCCAGCAACCCATCCCACCCGTCTCTGCCCGCGCGGCCTCCCCCCTCAAAGTCGTCCGGCGGCTTCAAGTCCGCCTTCAAGCCCGCCTTCGGAGCGGCGTCCACCGCGTCACCCTCCTCCTACTCGAGCGCACCGAGCTACGCCAGCGCACCCGCGGCCAGCAACTATGGCCCCTCATACCCGTCATACCCCCAACAACATGCCTCGCCCTCCGTGGGCGCCGGCCCCTACCAGGCACCGCCCTCGTACCACCAATACCCGCAAGCCGGCGGCGCCCCCGGCGGCTACGGCCAGACGAGCAGCTACACCACTCCCCCCTCGACCGCGTCTTACTCCGCCGCGCCGCAGATCCGCAACCCCTTCCCCGTCCCCGGCGCCGCCCCCGCCGCGGGCGGAGCAGGCGCCTCCGACTACGACCCGGACATGGCGATGCAAATAGCCCAGTGGCAGAGCGCCTACACCTCCAAAGACGCCTCGGCATCAGCCTCCGCCACCGCCTCCGGCGCAGCGGGCCGCGGCACCCCCAACGTCTTCGGCAGCACCGGCCCCAACGCCACCGACATCCCCGACCCGGCAGCCGCCGCCGCCGCCGCTAACGCGCCCCCGGAGCGCAAGAAGACGGTCGTCCGCGAGGGCGGCGGCAAGAAGTGGTCCGACGACACCCTCGCCGAGTGGGACCCGAGCCACCTGCGCCTCTTCGTCGGCAACCTCGCCGGCGAGGTGACGGACGACTCGCTGCTCAAGGCCTTTTCGCGGTGGAAATCCGTGCAGAAGTCGCGCGTCATCCGCGACAAGCGCACCGCCAAGTCCAAGGGCTACGGCTTCGTCTCCTTCAGCGACGCCGACGACTTCTTCCAGGCCGCCAAGGAGATGAACGGAAAATACATCCAGAGCCACCCCGTCGTCGTCCGCAAGGCCAACACCGAGATCAAAATCACGAATGTCAAGGAGAAGGACCACCACAACCACCGCAACAAGAAGAACAAGAAGCACTCTGGCCACGGCGGCGGCGGTGGTGGGAATAAGCACGAGGGCGGCGGCGGGTATGAACCCCACCTCGGCCCGGTACATCACCACGGCGTCACGAAGCCCGGCCAGAAGACCAAGAACGGTCTCAAGCTCCTCGGTTAAGGTTCTTCGTTGGCCTAGTTGCACGCTTGCTTCGCGGTGGCTCCTATGACGCCCAGGCAGTCGCATCCCCTACATGATTTTGAGCATTCGAAAGCGGCGTTTGGAGTTGGAGGCAGAAAGCATACCCATGTAATAAACCGTACAATGCATTACAAAACATAGAAACGAATTCACTCATGAAAACCTTTTTGGTCATGACATATTCTTGATTCTCTGCGTGTCTAACCTCTTGGCCATTACACTAATGATGGGGGACTCAAACCCGGCAGTCTGACATGTCCCCCCTTGATTTGCTTCCCGTCTTCCGTCTACTGTCGCCAGTAGGGTATATCCATCTCAATATGCAAGCTTCTCATCCTCTGTGGCCCTCTTGAAACCCTTGGGTCTCATAAGCCACGACCCGTTTTAGACTCTTTCAAAGATCTCGGTACAGGTTGTCTCTGCCCGGATAAGTCTGCAAAAACAAACTCCTTGCCTTCCCTGTCTGCCAACCGGCCAGATATGCTTGCTTCCAAATGTACAGTTTTGTTTTGTTTTCTTGACCCAAAATACGACAAAAGAGATAGAAAGCCACGCGTCTAATTGTCGCGGTGGGCCTGAGCCGTCCTCGACTCCTGCGCCGTGTGGCTCGGGTTCGGCATGATGTCGCCATCCGCCGTCACGAGGTTGTCCTCGTAGTCGGTGCTGTTGCGCAGCAGACCCGTCTCCTCACCGCCATCGTCGTTATCGCTGCCGCTGGAGCCAGAAGACTCGGCAGCCTCCATGTGGCCGCGCTGGACTTCCTTCTGGGCGTCCTCGCGCATCTTCACGATCTTCATGTAGTTGTACGCCACAATGGCGCCAATGGTGGTGATGAGACCGACAAAGTTGACGGGGGTCAGGCGGTCGTGGAACACAATGGCTGAGGCGGAGATGGTGACGACCTCTTTGAAGATGCCCGCAATCGAAAGGGTGACGACGGAGGTACGCTGCAGCAGAGCGAACTCGGAGGCAGTCATCAGGAACGCGATGCAGCCGGGGAACAGCAGGAACAGAGGGGTCATGAGGAGACCCCATTCCTCCACGAGCACCCCGAGACCCTTGATGAGAGCGGGGAAGCCCTCGAGAGGGATGGCGATGACGATCAGGGTAAGGAACATGACCGGCGCCAAGAAGAAGATGCTAGAAAAGGGATTCGAAGTCGCAGGGTTACGTAGAAGCAGAATTTGGGTCAAACCCCAGCGGAAACCGGAGAAGAAGGCCGCGGAGATGACGAGGATAAAGCCGGCCAGGTTGAACTCGACCTCTCCGGAGACCATGAGCACCACACCGGCCGTCATGGTCGCAATAATGGCAACGAGACGCCACGTCGGCTTCTCGAGTCTGAACAAAAAGGCGAAAATCAAGACGAAGGCTAGGGAAGATGATTTACACATGGCTGGACTTGGTTAGCAATTCAATATCGAATATCGGCCAGGATCAAGGACGTACTGTAGAACGTAAGAGTAATAAACTTGAGGGAAGTGTTTCCGAGGCCAATATCGAGGCCCGTCGCGGCACCGCATGGGCCAATTCGCGTCAGATAGAACATCTTCGTCATCAGCGGCCGTTCTGGCTCGGACTCGTGCCGTGAACGACCCAGGTCGGAGTGGCGCTGCGCATTCGACGGGCGCAGGGAGGGGATCAAAAACAATATCAAAGAGGCGAGGGCGAATTGTACCAGCATGTGGCATGCAGTCGTAAACATGGGGAAGGAAAAGTTGAGGTGGTCCTTGTCGAACATCCATTTGTTGTACTAGGGGAATCGATTGTCAGCTCGAGGTGACGCTGACGGTCTGGAAGGGGGATATTGTTGCTTACCAGTGAGATGCTGAGAGAAAACAGGTACCACAGCAGGATTAACACGATATTGATCATTGACCTCCTGATGACATTTTGGTCTGCTTCCTTCTTCTCTTCGGCTGTGACGCCTCCCCCTGGCGCTATTCTCTGGTCTAACCTCCTGTTGTTCCGCTTCTTGTGCTTCTTTCTCCTCTTGTCCTTCTTCGTCAAGCCGGTCTCCTCATCGTCGTGGAGGTCCTCATCGGAAAAGCTATCGTTGTCGATGTCTTTGGAGGCAGACGGCAATGAGCCCATGTCCTCTTCCGAGATCTTGGGCTCTTCGAGCAGGTTTCCGCTGTGGCCTCGTGAAGGGGTTCGGTGGTGGTTGCTGGAGCCGGCGCTCTGCATAAGACTGCTCCTGCGCCGGCGATGGCCGGTCTCTTTCAACGGCTCCATCTCTATGTCGTTGCTGTCGTCGGCGACAGGGGCGACGGGCGAGTGTTGCTGACGGGAAGGAGACGGGTTAAGTGAAGATGAGTAGGAGGAGCCCAGGCGCGGAGAAGCGTGGGCAGGATCGGCGTGTTGGTCTCGTGGCCGGGGGTCATCCACGGAAGAGTCGCTGGTCGCGTGTCCAGGTGAAGGAGACTTGGGTGGTGGGAGGAGCAAGGGCGACGGGCTCAGGAGACGACGGTTCTGGTGGTGGAGATGTGTGTCCGTATCGTGGGATGACGAGTTGGCGTCGTCGTCGAGGTCAATGGGGTCGGGAGAAGATGATATGGCACTGGGAGCAGAAGAGCGACTGGGGTCGGGAGGCAGCACATGCACTAGGGATGAGGAATCTGATGAGGAGGTGGACATGATTAAATCTGGTTTCCACCGGGCGGTTCACGGCTGGGGCTGGAGGATAGGTCCCGGTGCAGGTGCATTTGCCATTCGGCAAGGTAGGTAAAGCGTGAGGTAAGGTACGGTACGGTAAGGCATGCGGTACGGTACTTCGTACAACGAACAAGCCAACGAACGGGGTGTGTGAATGAAATGGATTGGATGGGTCGGGGGGGTCTGGGTCTGGGTCTAGTTCTGGAGACTGGTCTGGCTGGATCTGGGACTAGTTTGCTTGGTCTTTTGGGTTCGGGGTCGGGACGAGGAGCTGGGCGCGGTCATTTGCAGCTCTGGCTGGTTGAGGAGCTGGGCTTGCTGCCGCTCGGTGCTTGGATTTTTGCTATGGTCTGCTGTGCTAACTGCTTAGTAGAAGGGGGAGGCAGGAAGTGGCAGACAGACTTCCACCGTCGCGAGACACTGGAGAGGCGCGGAGATGGTCACGGCAGTGCGGATCATTTCTGGACCCCCAGTGTCGCGCCCACACCAGCCGATGAGTGTGAGGTGGGCGGCCACCGAGGAGTGTGGGCTGGGCTGGCACGCTGGGGAGGGGTTTTTTCAGCGTGCCTCTGCCCTGTAGGCAAGCGCAATGTACGCTATGCAGGCTTACCGCCAGTTACCGGCCAATCACAGGCAGTCGTCGCGGTGTCTCGCTGATGAGATGTGGGCCCAATCTTGGCGCGCCTCACGGTGGAGACGGCTCGTGGATTTGCTGCTGCAGGACTGGAGCGGTCAGGGTCGCCTGCTCAGGGATTCCTTCCCCTCGGCTCCCTGTGACATGCCAGCTCACAGTGATGAGCACCACTGATTGCCCTTTGTTCCAAGAGAGAGAGGCGAACCCCATGAGAAATGCAACCAGCATAATGCACCGGACCCCGACTGGACTGGCAACACCTGTGCTGCGGTGCGATCAGGTACCGTTCGCCGTTGCTTACCTTACCTACCTGCGTTCCGCGGGCCTTCCGGGTCCTCCTGGCAAACTGGAAGCGGTCCATAGTGTCGACAACTTGTTCTCCCCCGCTGTTAGTGCATCTTGCATCCATCCGCATCCCACCTCGGGAGCTGAGGATCATGGGCCATCGTGGAACTTGGAAGCCCAGAGAGAAGGAAATACTGGGTCGTTCTTGTCTGGCTTGTTGGTCATGGACACATTGCTACCTGACCGCAACCTAACGGCAACAAACCAACGCATTGCCCGCATTATCACAACAACACGCCGTCTGCTTTGAGTCATCAATCTGGGCCCCGTTCGACGGCTCATCGTCCCCGCCGTGTGCCAATGGCCGACTGCCTGACTGATTTTCACAATTCATTCAACGACCTACCTTATTTCCCCTGAGTTCTGGCCTGACCTGACTCCTGAGCCTGCTCTCCTGAGGCTGGGTAATGGTATCCGTACCTGAAAGGGGATTTAAGATTGCCTGACTTTATGGTGCCTTTAGGCGAGGTGAGCTACAGCATGCCAACCTAAAGACTAAGGCACACTTTAACAGCTAGCTCCCCTAATCCTATTTCTCCCATGCCTTTTCGACGCATGACACCGGGAGGCGGGCAGGCTGGCAACCGGCAGGGAAGCGTCGTCCGAAGAATTGCAGAAAAGTGTCCTCCCGAGTTTCACACGCCTTTACTCGATTTAAGCTTGGTCCAGCCGTCTCTCACGCTCAGAGTCACAGGTAGGTTCTTCAGTTGGCTGACTGGCTGGGCCACACCGCAGCCGCATCCGAGTGAACCAGACCGCAACACCAAGACCAACACCACACACACATGCTTCTACCGCAGCCGTGGGAGGTGTCCTTGCAGTCGGTTAAGGTTCACGTAGCCATGTGGTCGCTCGTGCAAGTAGAAAGTGCTCGGGTGACCAGACCCCACTCGCACTCGCACACACCACTGCTACCATGCATCCAGCACCGTTCTGCTCGCCGTGCGGTGTCTACCTCGCCTGTCCGTCCATCGTCTTCCCTCCTCGGACCAATCTGCCGCCCAGAAATCAAGACTTGCCTACCGAGCCGGTTTCTCGGACAGTGCCGCGACCCGCTGCTCCCGAGGAGCATCCGAAATGTCAAGTCGAACTTGTCGACATGTTTGGCAAAAGTTTAAAATCAATAATTCCAAGTTCATATTGAATTGTCCTGCTGATTAACAAACGATCTGCACACACTCTAAACAACCGTTGCATTGTCGTTGTTTCTGGAGCCCCGTTTCTTCCGAGACTTCCAAGCACAATAACAGGCTTTTGCTATCAGCCATCCAACAGATCTTGCCTCGGGTCGTTTCGTTTGCTTTTCGAATAGACGAAGTTGTTTCTCAGCTTGGCCGTGTTGTCCCGCCTTTTCACATGGAGGTCTAGACCGAGCCACAATCCTATGCCTACTTACACAGACCCCGGGGGCGGGG